AGAATTCCATCTGCGGCAAAGGCCTGTGAAAGGTGGCTGAGAACATGCACTCGCATTCCTTATTTTTCCCATTACCAGAAATTTTGCGAGACATGGTCAAATAGTTTGGTTGCCAAGGACCAATTTTTACAAAACCCATTAAGTTGCTAACTGACAGACAAACAGCAGCCTAACAATCTTTTTTAACATGCGAGACAGCAGCATACAACATAGCTGTTTCTTGGACAGGAAAAAAATGTCACAGGTTTGCTGCAAAGTCGAAGCAATGAATGTGATAGCAGCTAATTGAAAGGTCACGCACAAAATGGAAAGCAGAAAGAAAAGTGCCCCGCATTTCTCACACACAAATGACGCACGAAACGTACTCACAGGTGCGGATTCACAGGAATAAGCGTCTCATTTGTTACATCGCTGTGTCTGAAAAGCGTGCACTTTTCGCAAACGGAGGCTACAATGATTGCAGTGACCTTTGTGCATTCGGTAACTACAGCTGAATTGTTCTGAAGGCAGCCAAGACATACGATTCTCCCCTCCTCCGCAAGATAAGAGCGTATAAGGGAGCATCCATTCCTTTCTCTAAGTAGGGCAAAGTACGCGTAGTAGATTAGAGCGGGTGCCGCCGCGCAATGTGGCGACGCGCGCTCATTGCACCATCTTGCTGGTAATGCTGAAAACACAATTCCCCCCAAAATGCTTATGAGCAGCGGTGAGTGGCAGATATAAATACCTAGCCGTTTGAATGGTGAAGGACGTGCTTCGGGTGGCTCAGTAGTTAACGCCTCGCTTTCACGACACAGAGGTCCCACGTTCTATTCTGCATGCCAGAGTGTTTTTGTTGTTTTTTTTTCTTTCTTGCACTTTCATGTATATAGATACGTTTACATATACAATGAGTGACGGTGACATTGACGCCGGCAGCAAAATCCAGCCGAGAGTGTCCATATGATTGCTATCGCAATAAAAATTGCGTGGAATATTGATGTAATTTGTGCTTCCATACAGTAACTAGAGTATTGGAGAAAGCTTCATTCAATTACACATATGAACTGTATCACAGAAACATGTGAGCTGACTGATTGTCACAACACCAAAGAGGATGCAAGAAAACAAAGAGCTCGAAGTTAATTTGATCTTCTGGAGTTTTATAAATAAATGTGCATCCATGTGAGTATAATGTTGTGACATTTAGAGCAGGAACTTGAAGGCAGTCTTGGGGCAACCACTTTATTTGGGCACAACTTGGAGTGCTAAATCACCGCCGGTAGCATCTGACAGGCACAGCTGCCGCGTTGGCATGTCACATGAAAGAAACCTCAGGGCTTGGTACCACACACTGTTTTTACCCAGCAGTGTTCCAGCTTGCACCGGTTATCAATATAAGAACTGAATGGGACGCGATAATGTCATTCTCACGTGTCCATACTAGGCACCTACTTTGGCGCGTGTGAAGACAGTAACACAAATGATAAAAGCGCACTTCCATCGCGTCAAACCAAAAACATCACGTGGCTATATGTATATTTAATTAAACACAGTACAACAAGCTCCACATAAAAAACTGTGTTAGAAAATGTAGGACTGATAGCTGCTGCAAAAGACTGATTGGCTGCTCCAAGGTGGGACTTCAATCAATCAATGTATCCATCATTTTTATTTTGTTCTTCACACTCGAAAGAGAGGAGACAGGACTAAAAGCTACTACAGCTTGAAAGAGGTCTAGCCCACTTTTGCAAATGACTGCAGCACATTGCTGAGAAAAAATAAGTGCAACACACACTAAAAAGAAACTAATGTGCAATACAAAATACATTTTAAATAAAAAACAAAGTTTGTATTCATCATTACAGATTTATAAATGCACACACAAAAAGTATGTGCCTATGAATGAAAATGGGCATTTCCCCTATTTACATTTTTGTACCCGATACACAAGTATATATAAACAGTTCTTTATATGCACATGTATACGCTCTTTAGTAACGTGTTCAACGCTGTTTCGACACTAGGGTAAGAAAAGATAGAAAATCAGAAAGAAAGATATCATGCACAACGTGAGTATTCTCTGTGGCAGGACTGACAAAATAGTCCTATTTCTTGATTAGAGTTGCACAGAGGATCGAAATTGGCCTTTGTAAGTTTATTAAGTATGATTGCCACAGTGTGTTTTAATGATTGTTCATCATACTGATTGCGACATGCCATTCTTCCTTATGCCTAGTGAGATGAATACTGCGGTTTACGTTCAAATCAGCCAGCAAATATGTAATAGAATTATTAGACTCAAAGTATGACTTGTTCGTTAAAATTAGGCGATATTTGTATAAAAAAATACAAGTAGAATATTGCCACGTTCCTTCCTCAAGTTTAGTTATCACCCTGTTACGCTGTATGCGATTCTCAGCGCAAACCATGCCTACAGTGTTCGAGAAGCTTCATGACTGCAGTAGATCATTTTGTTAAGATTACGCCCACTTCGTGAGCATTTCAGATTATTGTGGAATTTACGTTGCCACTAGCGATAACTCTAGATTGTTCGATGGCGAGTGTATAAATGGTGTCACGCTTCGCCGCTTGTCAGTTGACCGAGGGCTGACACTGCATTCGCCGCTATTAGTGCGAGTTTGCTACTGTAAGCCGACTTTTTGTTTACCGGGCACAAGTTCGCCCAAATCTGGAATTAAGTCCGATGTTTCATGCTATAGGCCCATCTCCCTTACATGTACAGAATGCAAGCTTCTAGAGCATATAGTATTAAAATGCATAACCACATACATTGAACACCACTACATTTTATCGCCATGTCAGCATGGTTTTCGTAGAGGGCGCTCAACAGTAACACAGCTAGTTGAATTAATGCTTAAGGTACACGGAATTTTGTAAACGACGCTGGGGGTCCTGTCCATTTTTGGCCGGTCTTTCGGGCGGGCGAAGAGGCGGCCCAGTGTACATGAAGGCACGTGCGGGATGCGAACCCTTTCCTTGAAGATCCGCCCCAACATCTGGCTGGTTCCCTGAATGTATGAGACGGGCACGCGTTTCGGGGGGCTACCAATTAAGGTTAATTGGGGTTTTCAAATTCTCTGTTGCTCTGCGCAGCGGGTGGTGGTGCAGAGCAACAAAGGAGGTGTAAATATTAAGCTGAATGGCTATAAAACAACAATTAATATAATATAATATGAATAATAATTGTTATACTATGAATATACAGAAAGTAACTTACGAGAGAAATACACCAGCACTGTTATGTCTGAACTCGGTGTTTCTCGAACCATCTCAGAAAAGCTTGATGCATAGTTTCTGCTGCTGCCCAGTGACCAGCAGCTTTTATAAGAAACACAAGAATAAAGCCCTTGCCAATGTCATACAAAGAAAAGGGCTGTGCATCAATATTTCATACATGTCTGCAATATTACTCTCTTTATTAACATAGCTTGGCTCCTTCACAACACACTAACAAAGCATGTTGGGACACTTGAGCTGAAAGTCGGCACAGCGTAAAGAAATTCTAGACAATACATGAATAATACAATTATTCTAATACTGACCTTCTAAATCATCTGCCCCTATCTTTATTTTTATTTGACTTTGCAATTGTTTGTCTTTCTGCATATAAACCATAACTTTTGTCTTCCTGGCATTTATTCGCAAACAGTTCGCTTCAGCCCACTGTTTAAATTCTTTGAGCGTTATGTTTTCTTGATGCTCAAGTTCAGTTTCAGATGTAGTGGTAATAAATATTGCTGTGTAATTTAGATAAATTTTGCCTGTTTCGAACTGTTTGGCATGTTATTTACATAAATTTTAAATAGGAGTGGCCCAAGGATACCCCCCTGCATAACTGTGGCTCCTACAGCCTGAAAACTGTACTTTTATTTTCCTAGCTCTGAATATTGTGCTTGATGCAATAAGTATGAGTCGAAGAGCTCTAAGGCTATACCACGTATACCGCAAGCGTGTAGCTTATTCAGTAAGTATTTTTAATTCAGAAGATGAAATGCTTCAAAGAAATTGATGTAGATTCCCATAATTAACTTTTTATCATTAAAAGCTTGTAAGATTGTTATTTTTTAGCTTAAAGAGCAGTCTCGGTGGAACGGCGCTTCATAAAGCCATGTTGATGATCAGCTAATAAGTTATTTTTGTCTTGATATTGTTACGATTGTGATGGGTTTATTTACACTGAAAATGCCAGCGCTCAACAGTCTCTGCCGAATCGCCATCGCTCGAGAGCGTCCTACCTCTTCTTCTTTCTCGCTCTTTCAGTCTGCGTTATAATATGATAATATTTTAGCATAAATAATCTTCTCAGTGCCTTTTGAGAATTTCGGTAGAAGTGAAATTGGGCAATAATTAGATAGAATTGAACAGTTGTATCACCTTTTTTAAAAGGAGGCTGTACTCGAGCTTTTTGCATGTCTTTCAGAAATTGGCCAGACGATAAAATCTGGTTATGAATGTGAGTAAGAACAGGACAGATAATGTCAAGTACATGCTTTATAGTTCCTATTTTAAAACCATCAGTGTCTTGCGACTTACGATTTTTAGCTGAACCGATCGAAGAAAAAACTTCAGTGCAGTTGGTGGAACTGAAGAACGATTTTGCGATAATGTTTTTAGTGGCAAGAGCATAAGAGCTGCTGCTATGTAAATTATTTTCAGGATTTGCTTAACAAAGAAATTGTCAAAACGATCTGCTAGTGTTTTGTGAAATGACAGTTCACCTTGCTGATGAAAGTTATCAGGAATAACATTAGATTTAGTTGGGAGTAGCAGTGAGTTTAAATTTGATCTGCTGCAGAAGCTATGCCAAAATGGTTTTGATCGATCACATCACTGTAAATCGTGAATGCTAGTTAACCACTGTCCCTGAAGATTGCCGTAACATGGAGGCTCAGCATGCAACTCGAGGACGACATAGTGGAAGGACCAGAAGGTGGCACCTGAAGAGAATAACGGGGCTTGAAAGGCCTTGCTGATAATGATTGTGCATTTCTTTGCAGGGGTTGCTCATTCCTGACTAAGTGTGTGGAGGTGAGGCGCCAGGGAGCGCTAGCCGTCATTGTGGCTGACAGTGACCTGAGCAATGATGAGCAGTATGTGGATATGATGGACGACAGCACACGGCGCAACTGCAGCATACCAGCAGCGTTCTTGCTTGGCAAGGACGGCTACATGATTCGCCGGGGCCTGGAGGCACATGGCCTTCGCAGAGCTCTGATCAACATCCCCGTCAATGTTAGCGGTGTGCCTGCTCACCGGCTGCGTCAGCCACCGTGGCTTGTCTGGTGATGTTAATAAAGGACCCAAGCACAGAGGTGGCTCACTAATGAAACCAAAGCCACATTTGTGCAAATCCTACATGTTAACGAGACCCACATGCCCATAGTGCATACATTTTTATTTGTCCTTTCATTTTGGCATTGTCAGAAGGGTCAGGGAAGAAAGCCTTGATGGTTTCCCGGTGGTTGTCACAAAACACAAGACTCGTGCTTACGTTTTTTGTCATCAACATCAGCAGATAAACAATCTTATTGTTGTAAGTAAGCTACAAGAGATGAGTGCTATAGTGCATGCCATTTGACAAGGGAAAAACAAGCTACATTGTGCGTCGTATTGCAAGATCAACGACCACGTTTGCAAAATGCTGTTGCTGGTTTAATCCACTGCTTCAGGCATGCTGTCCTCCAAACAAGAAATTAAGCCTGTTTCCCACAGCCAAGCCTGTTATGCAAGTAAATATTTCTCACATATATGTCATGACTTCAGACTAGGCTTTGGGCTAATGTCTGTTTTGTTCTTCGCATTCCTATTTATTTATTGATTTGTAAAGTGCTGCTAGCCATAGAAGGCTGTAAGCAGGAGTGGGAGTACAAAGGTCAAGGAATACGTACATGCATACTACGCAAAAAAACAATGATAACGGCATGCTACACCTTTAGTACATTTCTACAGCAATAGTGTCAGCGCATCGATAATCACAATATTGCATAACTGCACTGTAACCAAAATGTTCGAAATACCAATAATGCATAGTGCACATGCTATGAAAGAATGTCTCAAAATACAGATAGAAATATACAAGTGAACAATGACAAAAAAATTCAGTAGATTCATATAATTATAAACTCGACAAATGAGCCTAAGTGTCGGAGCTAAATATGATGTGGCCATGCGTTCCACAACATCGACCACTTTTATATAAGAGCATGAATTAGAGGTTAAGAAGAAAGTTCATTGGGTTTTTATAGTGCCTATGAAATGCCTATTTTTGGCATTCGTGCCTAAATGCCTATAGACCTATTTTATTTTTGTAAACAATAGGAGGTGCTGTCAACATATGTTGGTTTGTTGTAGTGACGTCATGGTGTGTAGGCTCTTCTCAGCCATGCAACCAAAAGTGTTTCTACCACCCTCTATTCCACACATAGCGTTGGTCAATATGGCGCCCACCGAGAGCATAAGAATCGCTCAGCACATGTGCGGCCTGCACTTCAGTGTTTTTTGCTTCGCGACAGCTCTACCCTTTTCGCAGTCGGCAACACAAAGGAGTTTTACGTGTGTGCCACGGTAATGTGGTGGTTACGATGCTCTGTTCTGACCCAAACGCCATGCGTTCACTCCCGTTCGCGGCGGTCGCTTAGGGATAGAGCTAAAATGCTAGAGGGCGAGTACCGTGACATGTCAATGCTCGCACGTTGCCCTCCACTAACGGCGTGCCTCAGGATCATCATGTGGTTTTGCATGTAAAACCCCATCGATAACTTTCTCTACTTCCTTTCGCGTCCTTTGCTGATACTCGCGTATATTTTGTATTATACTCGCGTATATTTGCTGATACTCGCATATATTTTTGATGCACTTAAAAAAAAGCAAAAAACCTTGGTATGTGCCACAATACTACCATTCACTTATATTCACTAGTGCAGTTGTTTGTCATTTGATGAGTAGAGTCCGGACATGAATACCGTGCTGCTGCTTTATATTGTGCTACTCTGGTTTTCAGGGCCATTGTAGTTGCAAAGCAGCCAATTCATCATGCTGCAAGCACATTGTCACGATGTGCATGCAGCAACTACTCGTAAACAGGCAAACTCAAAGGCTTTTGCAATAAATATATTATTGTAATATTAATTTTGTACTAATAATATTTGTTGATTGCTGCATGCAATCAAACTGTCCATATGCATACCCAGGCAAGCCCTAAAACAGTTCATGTAAACCCTTGCTAAAGGTGCTTTATTTTTGCGAGTACGAAACCTGGAGCTTCACCTACACCACGCATCATGAGTGTATTTATAATTTTATATATGTATGATGGTTTTGCATGCGAAGCTCTTAGCTGTTTTGTAAATTTCATGCAATAATCACAGCACACAAATTCCGAAAAGACCTGCCATGTGCCATTAGAATAACTAAATACTATACGGTAATGACATTATCATATACACACATCTTCGAATGATACAAACCTTGAGAACGCCTCACAGATTCAAGAGCACGTTCCGCTGCGGTTTGCATTCATGATAGGTTCTTGTCGTGAGGCTGCAGAGGCAAGAATTCACAAGGCGTGCACAGCTGATGACTTCATTCGCTTCCTTGCAGACTCCCTTATCTGCAGGTCTGCATAAAAAAACACAAATTACAGCTTCACCAACGAATTTTCCTTACAGGAATAACACTAAACAATTAAATAGTTTTCACAACACAAGACGCCGAGTGTGTCTCTCACTGTTATGTTTTTCTAAAGCATATGGCATGGCCTAAGCTGCTCGTTCCCACTACACTGAACCCAACTGAGCAGCTCGAGCTCGTTCAAGTGATGGCATACGGGTGCAGGGCTCTCGCAAGGTGAGATGCAACGGTGACCATAAACTGCGGCTTGATTCAAGCAAACCCTTAGTAAATGTTTTCTAAAGGTCACAGCAATGTTAGTGCTACTGCAACACGCTGTCGCAAGCTTTGATTTATTTGCTTAATGAATGCCTCAATTATCATTAGAAAAATAAATGAAGGCATGCACACTAATCAGATATTCTCAGTTTCTTACCTACGTTGCTCCAGAAGTAGTTTGTGCTGACAAAGCGCGCACTGCACTTTTTCATTGGCGTGAGCTACTTGCCGAATCTCAACTTCGTGATCAATTCTTTTTGCCTCGCTGCATCTCTTGGGAAGGCTGACCCTTATCAATGCTCCATTTGTACACTGTGCCATGCAGCACGTACTATTGCTTTAGAAGCCTGTACATTTGGTCATTTCTTGTCAACTGCTGCAGTTGAGGAGGCCGCGACAACGACTCTAAGAAGAAAAAATGACAGCATATTCACGAGGCGAATGATGATGAGTGGGGCGAAGCGGGTGCGCGCACGGAAGCACAGAAAGACTCTTCACCCCACTCATCATGATTCACTCCGTGGATATGCTGTGACACTGTTTTTATTGACATGCAATGCAATGTGACTGGCTAGTACGACAACGCAGGACAAACAGCCCACAGCGTAAGGGGCTTCGCCCCTAAAAAAGCAAGCGCACCCCAGGAGCGCCGCGGGGCGGCGTGAAAGTCTACGGAACTTGCGAATAGATCATCTCACAACTGGAGAAAATGGTGCGGAAGTTGCCTCTGAGCACGGCGCATCTGGACGCCTCCCGCATGTCTACAAGTGGTGGCCGCAACAGAGGAAGTTGCAGTGAACATATGAGCCTTATTGACGAGTAGCTTTATAGCTTAGAATCTTAGATAACTAATAAATAAATGAAGTATCGTAACAGCGATATTTGCAGAATGTCATCGCCATTGCGACAGTCTACCTCACACATGTTGATTTTAATTTGTTATCTATTGCGAAACGACACAACCAGTTCACCAAGAAGCTCTAGGGTATATATGCAAATCTGTAATATAAAAATACACAGCTATGAATTGTTATCGTTAATCTTTGCATGTAACAAATGTGCTGAAGAAGTTACTCATGCGAACGACCAGGGCGATCTCGGCGACACTCATTCTTAATACGCTTGCGATTACGCTTCGATAACATGTTTAGGACAATGTGGGTACGTACCTGTCAGGTCCACAGCTCAATTCATACGCACAAGTCGAGGCCGCGAAATGGGTACAGACCCTAAACAGACTCTGCAAGTTTCTTGATTACTGTTTTTCTGCGAATTCTCACAGACTTTCAATGCTCGTGAAGCACACCGCAGCCAGAACAGCCCTGCCCGATACGAAGTGTGTCGTCGTAGCCACGTATAAAACATAGTGAACGTTGGCACTATCTACTTTAATGAACAATGTAGAAAGAAACAAGCTTCATTAGTTAGTGTGGCACCTTTAGTTCACGTGAGTGTAACAATATTCTTTTGACGCGTCCAAGTCTCAACAACAGCAACTGTGCATATCTTCACATATGGCAATGCTATTCGCAAAGTTAATGTGCTTTGTGGTAAACATGCCCACTATGTGTCCACAGAAGGCTTATTACAAAAAATGCAGTGTGGCGCACCACACACGCTTGACAGAGCTAATCGATTTCACTGGGTAAACGTTACGGGTTAACCAGCGTCGAAGGAAAGTTCTCGTGCAACTAATCTGGCTTTGTAAACAGAAAACTGAAAAAAAATTGCAGCATATCCACGAAGAGAATGATGAGTGGGCGAAGCTCCGGGGGATCATTAACCGTGAATTCCCCCGTACATTGCCCACTTGGTCATGCAAAGACGCGAGAACACGTGTGCCTTCATATAGAGGAAGCCTACAGAGAGGCCAGGAGAGCCTTTCCGCCCCTGCATCGTGAACTGTCACGTGCGGAAGCAGTGAAGCTCCGACAACTGCAAACGGAATGCGTGCTAACGCCAGCATTGGCCCGGCACGTATGCCCCGACATGTTTGTGGACGCTAAGTGTAGCGCATGCGAACGTGAACTAGCCACCCTCCGCCACATCATGTGGGGCGGGTGTAACAGTGGTGTGAACAATGGGAATGGGCAGTGCCAGGACGCCACGTATCCCGATGAGGTGGGAGCATGGATACGCTCCCAAGACTTAAACACACAACGAAGGGCCATCCAGCGGCTTGAGGAGGCCCTGGCAAAGCAGACGAGAAAGGGAACCGACGCCCCGGACAACGGGAGCGGAGGAGCCCGAGTATCCAATGCCTAGCCAGAGCACAACGTCCTCAAGATCTAGAGCCTGGGACTATAAGACTATTAGCTATAGTTTTTAGATAGGGAATACCCGCGCCCTGCGCGGACTTCCCGCACGCCGGATGCACAAAAATGTTGTTTCTCTCTCTCTCTCTCTCTCTCTCTTCATATAGAGGAAACCCACGCCGAGGGAGGCGCTGCGGAGCGTGGCGCTGTCAGTCAATGTGGGGAGA